GCCTGCTTCTCCCTCTCCCACTCCCCCTGCTTGTGTTCCCTCTCTCGCTGTGTTTCTGTCAAATAAATAAATAAAATCTTAAAAAAAAAAAAAAGGCAAGGTGGGAAGAAAACTTAAAAAAAGCTACCTTCTCAGCTTTGGTCATGAGGCCCGTCACCATCTGCCGGCCAACCTCTCCGAAGAAAAGCTGGTTGCTCTTGTCTTCTAGAAGACCCTAAGGAACGAGGAAGGGAGGGGAGCGAGCTGGCGGAGAGGTCAGTGGAATGGGGCGGGCGGGTGACCCATCTGAGCAGAGGAGCCGGGTGTGGCAGCAGGGCCTGGCAGACCTGTCCGACCACCCCAGCCCAGGCTCTGTCCTCTCCAGGTGCCCCTGACACCCACCTCGAAGGCTTGCCGCACACAATGCAGCTTGGCCAGAAAGTCCTGGTCACTGTAGCAGCCCAGCAGCTCAGTCCTGAGGAGAAACACAGTCAGTCATTCCCCCTGGGACCTATCCAGCAATGCTCTCTGGGTCAGGGTGAAGCCCCAAGTGTTCCTACCTCAGCCGGGCAGTATGACCTTGGGCAAGTGCCTGCCCTCCTCTAGGCCTCGGTGCCCCCCAAACCCAAGGGAAGGGGCCGACCGGACGCTCTCTGAGGGTGTGTTGTCCTCAGTGGTACTGAGGGCAGCTGGTGGGTCTGGGCCCTGGGAGTCGGGCTGACCTTGGCCTCCTTCAGGCCCCAGGCAGCAAAGGACCCTCACTGGCAGAGGACTGGAATGACCTACCTGCTCCCAGCTATCACCCATTCTGGGGCACCTGCAGCGCCCCCGCCCCGGTCTGGCTCCCCTCATTCACATTGGTAACCAGGACTCTCAACCATTTTCAGTCAGTGAACTTTAAACACACGTACTTAAATCCAGAGTCATGGCCAGAAGCCAAGTTCTGAGTTTCATATCAAACGGCAAAATTGATTTAAGATGGATCAGAAACCTAAATATGCCACAGATGAGGAAGCTGAGGCTGAGGGGGGTTAAGCAACTCGTCCAGGGCCACACGCTCGGAAGTGACAGAACCTGGAAGGAATCAGGTTTGTGTGTCCCCCAGGGCCCGGCTGGCTTCAGGGCTGCCGCTAAGACGGTTGACTTCAGGACACAGGGCTTTGGAAGAGAGCCCACTGTGTTTCTGTGGTTAGATCCCCGTGATAACTTAGAAGAAGTAGAAACAATTATTATTTAACTAATTAATTATATTAGTTTGCGGTTGTTAGTTGTAGGCCTGCCTGTCTTTGAACTCCAGGCCTTTCTAGACCCTCCACGGCACGGGCGGGAGCTGCCGCCAGAGCACCACGGTCCTCACCGAGCTCTCCAAGGGGGACAGGGCCCACCCCACCTGCCCCTGCTCCCCGCCTCCTTCCCCACACGCTCGCCTGAGGGTCCGGCAGGGCACTTTCCCCTCCTTCACCAGCTGTAGGGCCTCCTCATAAGCAGCAGCCGGCCTGGAGAGTGGGATCAGGTCATCTCCTGCCTGCAGGGACTCAAAGAGCTGGGGGAGGGTGCACAGGAAGAGGAAGGTGGCGTCACCGCCTGTGTCCGCAGCATCCCAAGGGGTGAGGGTGCCTGCCCGGGGGACGCCCTAGAGGACAACCTCTCAGAGGGGATGCCAGAGGGAACATTGACCCAACAGGCAAGAGGCCTCAATCTGAGTCTGGCTCTGGCCCTCAGCATCCCCATCTCCGCCAGGGGCCCAACCCAAAGGGACCATCTACTGGACAGGTGCCCACATCTTCTCACGCCAGGCAGGCGGCTGGGCCTGACACACGTGGCCATGGCAGGAGACTAATGCCAAGCAACGAGCGTGCAGTCTAAGAAGGGAGAGGTCAGTGTGCGCTGGAGCCACGGGGGTGGAGACCCCGACCCTCACCCACAGGACCCAGGACCCCTGGCTTCTCACACCTCCCTGTCCCTGGCAAGTGCATGGGGTCCCCAGGGAGCGGCACTTGGGGACTGCCAAATTCTGCTCCTCTCAGAGGAAATGCCTTCACTTTCCCATGACTGAGTACTCATGGTGAGAGTCCCACAGGGGCCCGGGCTTCACTCCACCCCACCCTCCCTCTCTGCCCCTCGACCCCGCCCCCCATCACCTCGGTAGCAGAGAAGAAGGAATCCTCGGAGGTCAGGCTGTCCTCATCATCCGCCCGTAGACGCAGGGAGCCCTCAGTCAGGGGCAACATGAGGGTCCTCTCTGGGAAGAGCAGGAAGAGAAGGGCTGAGCTGAGACTCCAAAATCACCGGGCTTTTTGGAATGCACACATGCAAAGCGACCGACCGGATTCTGGGCTGGCTGTTGCCGCTGATCCCACAGCTCCTGTGTACTGAACACGTATGCATGAAGATTCTGGGCTCATGGCCCCAAATGAATGGCTTCTCTCGATGCTACAGCATCGTTGGAGGTGGGCACAGTTAGGTGTGGAAGGGGGCTCCTGAGGGGGACTGCCCACGGCCACAGAGCTGCACCCCGAGGCCCGATGGCCCCTGAACTCTGCACGGGCAGGCTCTGCTGTACTGTGTGGCCCTGGGCAAGCTGATTCCCCTCTCTGACAAACGGAAACTTAGCCACTGATGACAAAGAGCTCAAGGGAACGCACCGGCCACTGACTCAGTGTTTCTAGACTCACCCGCTCAAGGGCTGTGGGAGTCTGGACCTTCAGAGGGCACTCAGGAAATGTCTGTCGAACAGATAAGCAGAGACCATGGCCTTCAAGGCCCCACCAGCCTTCTCTGCCACACGAGGAGGCCAGAGTAGGCCAGGGCTCCTCTTCAGGTAAAGTCACTTGGGGACAGGCCGTGGGAGGGTGTGTCGCTGTAGCCGGCCCCTGACAGGCCTGTGTCACCACCGGCAGAGCTGGGGAGCTGGACACAGGAGTCGGCTGACAGCACCCAAAGAAGGGTCCCAGGGTCCACTCACTGCAGGGGGTCTGGCACGCCGTGGGCACCAGGAGAACACTGGCCATCCAGCTCACAGCTTCATTCTCTCTCCCTGATGTCACGCACCTTGACCTCAGTCGGGGGCGGGGGGGGGGAGGGGGCAACAGCAAGAGCTGTTTTCGACTAACCTCCATGAGCCACCCCTTCTGCCTACCTGGTGCCACAGAAAAGGGCTCAAACCAAAGGCCTGGAACCCAACAGGGGAGATGCTGACACACACATCTGAAGGCCTGCTCCCCAGGGGACGGGCCAAGGCACAACATCCGGGGACTTCCGGGGCCTCGTCAAGCCCTGCTCCTGCCTACTACGTATAAAAGAACACCTTTGGGGTGCCTGGCTGGCTCAGTCAGTTAAGCGTCTGCCTTCAGCTCAGGTCATGGTCCCAGGGTCCTGGAATTGGGCCCCACGTTGGGCTCCCTGCTCAGCAGGGAGTCTGTTTTTCCCTCACTCTCCCTCTGTGCTCTCTCTCTCTCTCTCAAATAAATAAAGTCTTAAAAAAAAAACGCCTAACCCTTAAGGCCTCAGTTTCCCCACCTACGTATAAGGCACTGATCAAATGAGGTCCAAAGGCTCTGAGGATTCTGAGGGACCCATACCCCAGTTCTCTTGCCACCTCCCACCTCCACCCTGCCCCCACCCCGTCCCACTCCAGCCCGCAACCAGGCCAGCTCACCAAGGTCCAGCAGCATGCTGTCGGCCGGGAAGGTGGACCCAAACTCCTCCTGCAGGTGGTAAGCCCGGTGCAGCAGGGACTCCAGCTTCTCTGCAAACTCCCTTCGCTGTGACTCTGGCTGCCAGGAAAACAATGAACTTCAACCCAGGCCCTCCACACTCCCCAGGCCTACGGTCCCTCCTCACCACTGATGGGGGGAAAAGGGGAGCAGGCTCTGGGGCCCAGCAGCAAGAGTACATGTCTAGACCTGAGCTGCCCAATACAGGAACCACCAGCCCCATAAAGCGAACAAGCAGCTGAAATGTGGTCTGTCCCAACGGAGATGTGCCCTAAGTACAAACACATGCCGGGTTTCAAATACTTAGTACCAAGAAACCACAAACAAACAAAAACACTCTAAAATTTCTCAGGGACGCCTGGGTGGCTCAGTCAGTTAAGGGTCTGACTCTTGGTTTTGGCTCCGGTCCTGATCTCAGGGTCATGGGATCAAGCCTCACATCAGGCTCCATGCTCAGCAGGGAGTCTGCTTGAGTTTCTCTCTCCCTCTGCCCCTTTCCATTCTGAGCGCGCGCGTTCTCTGTCAAATAAACAAATATTTAAAAATAAAACAAGGGGCGCCTAGGTGGCTCAGTCGGTGAAGCGTCTGCCTTTGGCTCAGGTCAGGATCGCAGGGATTGAGCCCCATATCAGGCTCCCTGCTCAGCGGGGAGCCCGCTTCTCCCTCTCCTCCCTGCTCATGCTCTCTCTCGCTATCTCTGTCGCTATCTCTGTCTCTCTCTCTCAAATAAGTAAATCTTTAAATAAATAAAATATCTCAATGATGCTCCATGTTGATCACATGTTGATACGATAATATACTCCATATACTAGATTACATAAAATGTATTATTAACGGATGCCTGGGTGGCTCAGTCGGTTAAGCATCCGACGCTTGATCTGAACTCAGGTCTTGATCTTGGGGTCGTGACTTCAAGGCCCGCCTACTTGACATAAACAAATAAGAAAATGTATTATTGGGCACCTGGGTGGCTCAGTTGGTTAAGCGTCTGCCTTCGGCTCAGGTCATGATCTCAGGGTCCTGGGATCGAACCCCGCATCAGGCTCCCTGCTTGGCGGGGAGCCTGCTTCTCCCTCTCCCTCTACTGTTCTCCCTGCTTGTGCTCTCTCGCTCTGTCAAATAAATAAATAAAATCTTTAAAAAAAAAAAAAAAAAGAAGGCAGACAGGATCCCAGAAAGAGCTGGGTTCAAATTCCACTGTTACTATGAACCGTGTGTGCTTGGGAAAGTATTGTACCAAAGACACAACAGCCTGTGGTTCAATGACCTCCCCCTGCCCTTGGCTTCCGGGCTGGTATGTGGAAAGAAGGAGGCACTGCACCTTTGATCCCAGGAGCTTCTCGGCCAAGGGGCCAGGCACAGGTAGGCCCACCTCTGTTTTCTACCAAGGCTGCCAGATCCTGCACCTGTATGTAACCAGACCCCAGGGAGGAGCCGGGGGCCGGTTTAGGCCTGAGGCCACTGGGGACAGAGCTGGAAGAGCTCAGAGGAGGATAGGAGATGTGGTCTGTCCCAACCATTTCCCCAATGCTGGAAATGGTTCTTGCACCAAGTGCTCGCCCTGGACCAGGCACCTTGCTGTTCAGCCTTGCAGCATCCTTGAAGGCTGGCATGGCTGTGACCCTGATTCACAGAGAAAACTCAAGGATGTTAAGTGGCTCAGCTCACTCAGCTAGAGCCCCAGCAGAGCCCATGGAGCCCCGGGACCCACTATCCGATTTGCTCAATTCTCTGATAGGACCTGACCCCGTACGGTGCGGCTGGCACAGCCCCGTAGCTTTGGCAGAGGTCTGTGTGCTCTTTCTCGGTGAAGTGGTCTTGGGTTAGGGACCGGTTTCTTGGATGTCACACCCAAAGGGCAAAGGACAAAAGAGAAAAGATACACTGAGCTCATTGAAATAAGAACTTTTGTGCGTCAGGGGTGCCTGGCTGGCTCAGTCGGAGGAGCGTGCAACTCTTGATCTCAGGATTGTGAGTTTGTGCTCCACGTTGGCTGTGAAGCCTACTTAAAATTAAAAAATTAAAAAAAAAAAAATACAAAAGATTAAAAGAGAAAAACTTTTGTGCTTCAAAGGATGCCATCAGGAAAGTGAAAAGACGATCCACAGAATGGGAGAAAGTATCTGCAGATCCTATCTCTGATAAGGGACTTGTATCTCGAATATATAAAAAACCCTTACAGGGCGCCTGGGTGGCTCAGTTGGTTGGGCGACTGCCTTCGGCTCGGGTCATGGTCCTGGAGTCCCGGGATCGAGTCCCGCATCGGGCTCCCTGCTCGGCGGGGGGTCTGCTTCTCCCTCTGACCCTCCCCCATCTCATGCTCTCTCTATCTCATTCTCTCTCTCAAATAAATAAATAAATAAAATCTTTATAAAAAAAAAAAAAACCCTTACAATTCAATACTAAAAAAACATAACCACTTGTCTGTGGATAGACACTTGGGTTGCTTCCATATCTTGGCTACTGTAAATGCAAGTATCCATCCACAGATGAATGGATAAAAAAGAAGTGGTATACATATACACCGGAATATTATTCAGCCATAAAAAAGAATGAAACCTCGCCATTTGCAACCACATGGATGGATCTACAGAGTAGAATGCTAAGTGAAATAAGTCAGAGAGAGAAATCCCATATGATTTCACTCATATGTGGAATTTAAGAAACAAAACGAACAAACAGAAAAAGAGACAAACAAAAAAACAGACTCTTAAATATGAGTCCATTTATAGAAATGTCCAGAACAGGCCAATCTATAGAGATGAAAAGTAGATGAGGGGTGGGCTGGGGCTGTGTCTGACGGAGAGTGTCTGATGAAGCATAGGGGACTCCACGGGAACATGATGAAAATGTTCTAAAATTAATTGTGGTGACGAACACCCAACTCTGAATATACTAAAAGCCAATGAATTGTACAATTCAGAATTGAACTGAAATGAATTTTATGGTATACGAGCAATATTCCAATAAACCTGTTAAAAATTTTTCTTAGGATAGAAAAATGCCCGGAAGGACACCAAGCGGTTGTGTCTGGATGAAGGGTTATAGAGATCGTTTACTGAGCACCTACTTTGCACCAGGATCCTAGGGCTGGCAGTGGCATCCCGCCAAGGGCCCCAGTGCTCAGGGAGGCCGAGGGCCTCATCACACAACAGGAGCTGCCCGATCAAAGATCAAAGACTGGACGCTTTCCTCCCCCACTCTTTTCTCTATCTGTAGTTCTCACTATTCTATGAGGAATACTTCATTGCTTTCACGATAAGATCAATAAAGTTCTAGAATTTTAAGATGTAGTATTAGCAATTGATACCGTTTTGGAAATAGAGCTGTCTCCCTTCCTTTCCATGACCTAAAACCCTCCTGCAGGCCTCTACTGTCTGACCACAGATAGCAGATACCTGATGCAGCTGTGCCCTTGGGTCCCGGAGGCTTGGTCACCCTCTGGGGGCATTTCTCCGATGTCCTCCATCCTGTAGCTACCGTGCTCCTGCTTGTGTGGCAGGCCCTGAGCTGATGTTCCCAGCTGGGGTACAGGACACCATACCTTCAAGTTGTTACCAGCTGCGCCAGGCATGTCCTCATCCTAGTGCTGCAAAGTGTTCCCCAGGCTCCCCTACCAACTGGCTCATGACCCACCAAGGCACTGGTGGAGGAAGCATGGGATGGGGCAATGGGCAGACAAACTCCCCTCCCAGTCCTGCCTCACATCGTATCACTGCCCTACCCCACCCAAGCTGGGGTGACGCTTGCCGGTTATCCCGTACCATGGTTCTAGGTTCTGCGAATCCTAAGCTCTGGACACACTCCTCACCTGTGCAACCAATTCCCTGGGTTAACCTCCCTTTTTAACACCTGAAGTTGATCCTGACGGACTCTCCAGATACTATCAGAGTGCTCCCCAAAGAGCCCCAACTTTGTCCTCGTTCCAGCAGAGGACAGGAGCTCATAGGGCTTTTTTTTTTTTAATACATAAAAGCATAAAGACTAAAACAGAAACAGTCCACAATCCTACCACCTATATAAACCCTGCCCATAAGCATAGCTAAAAATTAGGAAGGCCAAACAATAAAGTACAATAAAAGCCTTTTTCCACCTTTCCCTGTCGAACCAATCCTCACAGATCACTGTTAACAGTTTCCTGAGTTGTCTGTCCAGAGGAAAGTAAAAACACACATACACACCACCAGTTACACATTCGCACACGTATGCATGGATAGATGTCTTTCTGAACACGTTTACACACGGGTCACGCTATACACATTCCCCATCTTGCTTTTTTTCACTTGATGACATACTGTGGAGACAGCAGCCTATCAGCCTATGCAGATTTCCCTAGTATCATACTCCAGACCCCTACGGATGGGCACGCAGATCGTTTCCAGTTTTTTCTGGTTTTTCACTGTTACAAGATAATGCTTCAGTAAATGTCCATCCAGGACACAAACATTTTTTAATGTTAGCTTTTTTTCACTTTATTTCTCTTTTCTGATATTGAAGTAAATAAATACTGACAGTGCCAAAAAAAAAAAAAAAATGTCTAAAGAAAGGACAAGACAAAGGCTGTGAGATCCACTCAGCTGAACGCAGGCTACTTTCCGCCAGTCCTTCATAAAATGCACCTTCTCCTCACATAGTTGGGACTGGGGTGTGATCATCCCCTGGATTACTGAGTGATTACCACACGTCAGGCATGGTAAGGCACTAAGCACCTTACGTGTGTATTTTCCTTGGGTGGATTGACATCCTGGTGGAATGTCACCTGGTGGAACTGCCACCATCCAGGAGCACAAGGGACCACCCAGCAGAAGGCAGGGCTGCTACACTCCCTCCCAAAGGTTGGCTGCCTCTCTGCACCCCCTCCAACCTTCTCCATGGCTGGGAGCTAAGAAGGACGCGGGAGAGGACAACCTACCTCAGACAGTACCTCCGAAGCAGTCTCGGGGTTCCGCAGGCTGTCCCCTGGTGTGGGGGTACTGCTGTCCCCTCGCTGCCCCACGCTCAGCGCCTGCTCCCACTTCTGCAGAGCCTCCTCGAACAGCTCCATGCCTGAGCACGGGCGGGAAGACAAGGGAGAGTCTGACCTCGGCAGAGGAGAGCAGCCGGGCCCCACACTCAAGATGGGGTCAGAAGGGCAAGGAGGCAGGAGGACACAAAAGGACAGAAACGGTCAGGACTGTGTGAGCCGGCTCCTAGTCACTTTTCCAAGGCGGCTCAGTTTACAGGCCGCCACTCAGACCGGATTTGTTCCTAGAGACTGTCCCCCATCCACAAATGGCTAGAAACCCTCGAATGAGGGTTTTGGGGTCGGGAGTGGGGTTCCAAACCAGCACCTGGGAAGGTGTCCTGAGTCCAGCCTGGGCTCCCGGGAGGAGGCCATTCTTCCCCCAACTCTGCCCCAGAAGAGGCCCCATGGCTGGCCTCCTGGCCAGTACCTTGCATGTAGAGACTCTCTGCGTTGCTATCACCGGTAGTCACAGACTCTTCCATCCCTCTGGTGTCCCACGGTCCTGAGCACGCAGCCGTGGGGCTGGATGAGTTCACTGCTACCATCTGGGCACCAAGCAGCACAAGGACCCAAGGGCAAGGGGTAAGGCCCTCCCAGACCCTTTGTAGGACCCAAGCCCCTCCCACTGCCTGGTCCTATGTCACACACCCTCTCCTAAGACCACCCCTGAAGCCAGCCCCTGGCACGCGGCCAAGCCCTCAGCAGGGCCTGGTCCCACCAACTTTAAGCACCCGGCGGCACTTTTACAGAAACTGCAGAAGTGGGAGGAAAGAGACCAATGGCCATCCCAGAAACCAGCAGCTTCCTACAGAAGCTGTCCTGGGCCCGTTCCCTGCTCTGGCACTCTGTGACTGGGGGGACTAGGAAGACTGAGGGAGCTCCCACCACCACAGGACAGGGCAGCACCCACATTCGCCACACTTCTCACCCTGCTGGGATGTGGGCTCCTCCAGGGCAAGAGCCCGCTCTTGCTCACCCCTGGGTTCCCAGGGCAGAGCCGGGCTCAGAGCTCACTGCACAAAGCGGTCACTAGATGAACGAATGAGCCCAAAGCCACTCCCCAGGAGAAAATATGCTTCTCTTTGTCTCATTTATCTCTTTATCTTCAACAGAGTCCCTGGCACAAAGCAGACGCCTGCTCCGTGTCTGATGAATGAATGAATGAACTTTCATAGACAAGTCTCTTCCCCACAAGAGACCACCCACCTCTCTTCTGCCCCTATCCACCTCTCTCTCACCAAAGCCTGGCCCTCGGTTAGTGAGCAGTGACAATCTCGGAAAGCCTGTGTGGACAGATGAGACACCGAAGGAAATCTCTCCTGTCTTCCTTCCAGTCTGTCAGCTCCCCGAGGGCAGAGATTAGAGCCTCCTCGGTACCCGGGCCTGAGCCCAGAGCCCCTGGTGCCCTGCCCTGGCTATTTACCGAAGCCAAGCTGTGGGAGGAGCCTGAGTGCTTGCTGGGCTCGATGGAGGAGATGCCACTCAGAGTGTCGTTGCTCTTGCTACTGGGGCTCTGCATCCTCCGGCTGGAGTAGCCTGCGAGCAACAGGAGGGCAAGGGTCACGCAGCCTTCGAGTCCGGCCTTTGCACAGGCTGTTCCCACCTCCAGCAACCCCCCCCTCCTCATCTGGGAGCTTGCCCTACATACCCTTCTAAGTCAGGGGGACGGCAGAGCGCCCACGTGCGTGCACTTAGCAGAGCGCTACGCCCCTGCCTGTCATCCTGCTCACTACCGTATCCCTGTCGCCCAGCACAGGGCCTGGCCCAGAAGGCCCCGGACCTGCCAGGTAAGCCAGAGAATGAGGTCTGGCGACTTCTCCGCCTATTTCTCACTCAGTCTCCCCTGCGAAGGAATTCTCCTCCTTCCAAAAAGAATTTGAGACAATGGCTTCTTTAACTACAAAACATTTTTTTTAAGTGAGAAAAGTAGGGATGGGAACAGAAGGTAACACCAGAGGTGGTGGTGGTGGGACGGGTTAGGCAAGCCAGAGGTTGCCCACAGGAGCAGCTCCAGGTGTCCCAGGGGCCCGTGGACACAGAAACCCAGCTACATCAGCGCTTCTCAGGGCCTGCTCTAGACTAGTCTTTTTTTTTTTTTTTTTAAACTGATTGGCTTATTTTCCTTCTGGACACAG